ATAACAATATTTTTTTAAAACAGATTCTCAAAAAATAACTTTTGATAGTTTGCTCATAGTTTGTTAAAATGTAACATGCAAAAATTTTGGCACAAATTATATTGATTTTTTCTATAAATTATGAGTTTGTACTTTACGTTATTCAATGATAGATTTTAGAAAAATCACAACAAAAACCTATATATACATTTGAAAAACAAATTACTCTTAACTGATTTAAGTTTTAACTTTTTTTGAGCAACAGTATCTCCAATGCAAATTACATCTAACAAATATTTTAGGAAGAAGCTCTAGCTTTTGCCTTTTTGCGTCTACGCACTGACTCAACATCAACAGGAGGTCCTTTAAGGACAGTGGCATTTTGCAGTTTTCCAAGAAGTTCTACCTGAACAGTCAGGCCAGGATGTGTTAGGAACAAAGGTAAATAAGCAAATGCTATGCTTCTTTTCACAGTGCATCCATAAGCTCCTGAAGTAGTGTAGCCTACAATCTAGAACAAAAATGCCAAAATTAGTATCTGAGCAAAACTTCATAACTTGAACAAGATTATATGATTTATAAATATAGTAAAATATGGAAAATTTAGTAAATAAGAAAGACGTACATCACTGAAAACTATAAACAAATTAACTCTTTGCATTAATACTCAGTAAATATTACCAAACAGTTAACATTTTTCAAAAGTTGTGGTTGATTTACTTATTTGTCAAATTCTTCTACAAAAGATGTATATAAATGTTAATATTTTCCTTACCTGAAAATGTCTTTCTGATACTTACCTCTCCGCATGCAATAGCTATACCTCGCATGCCTGCATTTGACATTTTGCACATGCCACTAGCCTTGAACTATCTCCAACCCAATTCATGTGTTTTGACATGAACTGTGCTAGTACATGATGTAATCATCATGCAGCAATAGCCCTCCACCAATAGGAGGGTGACACATTCTCCATGTACAGTAGATCCACATAAGCACTTGCACTCGAAATTAACTTCATTCTTATATAAGACATGAATAATGTGCAACAGTAATGGAGAGAGAGAGGGTGATAATGTGTGCCTGCAAGTAAATATTGATCAAAAATACATTTTCAGGTAATGAAAATGTTAACTTCCAAAAGAATCCTCTTACCTCTCCATACACAGTAGTTAGAATATCAAATCAACATGGTGGGAGGGGGTACAAAAGAGGAAACCTAGATGAGCTCTCTTCAGAGAAAGCATCAGAAGAAGAAAGTCAACGAAGTATGGCACTCAATAGTAGGTCTTACTAGAGGAAAAACACTCATGGGAGACCACAATCTTCTCAGGCAGGATACAACTGAGAATTTGCATGCAACAGGTCAGATGGACATGAAGTGTAGAGTGGATAGGGTACCAAAAGACCATATGGTTTGGTATGGGTTCTGTTGTACAAATTACTCACCATACATATAGGAATTGGGACAAAGATCCTTCCTGCCTTCCAAGGAGAGAACTTTGCCTCATCCAGCTGGTCAAAACCACTGGGAAATTGACGGACGATACAGCACAATCTACACTACACTGACATGAACACCCCTGACCTACTTCCCACCACATTATACTGCCCACTCAGACTCTCTCTGGAGAAATTGCACAAGCAGTGAGGAACTCACCAAGTTGATCATCCCAGTGGCTAGAAACAAGGAATAGTAAGGAATTCCTATGCTCCACTCGAAGACGAGTGGGGTTCACACTTGAAAGGTGCCCGGATTTGATCAGACCTAACCACCACAAAGGTCTTTTACTGGAGAAAGTGCAATGAGTTACCTCTGAAATGAATCCTATTTTGAAAAGCAAGGATGCATGATCTTTAAATCAGCATCAAGCCAGAGGTAACATTTTCTGCTACTCCTGACTTGATGCTGATTTAGAGAATTAAGTATACCTTGTGGGGCAACAACAGTCCAGGTGGGTTCTGAGACATATGAGATTACTAGTACAAGTAGGTAAGGAAATATAAGAGAAATTTATCTGTTGAAAAAGGCGAGTGGGCTGGAGAAAGGCAAAATTTTGAAAGAGATGAAAACACCAAACGGTGGAGAAAATGTGTGATGAAGGTGATACGTATTTTTCATAATGCAGCCTGTAAGATCTTGTCCAAGAATCATCGAAAATGTGAGGCCAGAGTGAGTAAAGTGGCAGATTTCATGTGAAGTGATATAGCAAATTTAAAAATGCTGGCCTTGCTTTTACAAATGATACAAAACTTTGGGGAAAACAACCAAAAAGAAAAAATCTAACTTTATAAGTTATCACAAAATCCACTTAATAAAACAGCACGTTCACACTCTTTGATTAATTATGACTCGCAACACTTATAAACTATAATTGAGTTTCAAGCATCATCCATACCAAAACTCAATATTCTCAAGCATCTGTCATATTAATTTTCAGTTAACTTTCTTTTTTTATAGCTTTATTTGCTACCAGATGATGAGGTCACAGTTTAATTTGGGATGATCATTGGCTGTTGACAAAACATCTAATCAACATATTTACAAATGACCATAGTTACTGTGACAAAGACCACAGCACTACCAAGTGTAAATCATTTTGTCTTACTATGAGAATAATGTTATAATTAATTTGTACAGGGTGTGAGCTGGCATCCTGCATAAGTAAACACAACAGAGGAAAAAGTACATTAAAGATAAACAAAATAATGATTAATAAGAAAATAAAAGAACGTCACCTCACATTATCAAACACATCTTTTCTGGTTAGCAAGTTGTTGAGTATCCAAAATTTTTGTGATTTAAAAGTAAATTATTTTGAGGAACTCAACCATCAAAACAAACAGATAAAAGGAAGATTATTATAAAGATAACACATTTGTACCTTTCCACTGCTCCAAACGCTTTCATTTCCTTCAGGATCAACATCCTCTACATCCATGGCTAGATATGCCAGCTTCCTTCTCAGTCCTTTCCTTTTTATCTCTTGGATAGCTGCTTTACCAATGAAATCACTTGCTTTATTTGGTTTAATGAAGAAATCAAGACCAGCCTCATACGGGTTTGAATCCATGTTCATCTGTAAAAAAATTTATGATTAGTTCTTTTTTGTTTTTATTGGTTTTATTCAAGTTTTCCTTGTCTCACACTTTTTATCAGTACAAAAAATATTTGTTGATAAAAGCTTAGAAATTTTTGTGATGAGTTAAATGATAGGTTTCTGCATGTATATGTATCTCACACAAATTTATTACAATTAACATCTAAGCAGAGTGTGGGGTGAGGAAAGAAAAAACTTTTTTACAATTATAACAGAAAACCTCATCTTAATTAAAAGAAACAGAGTATAAAAACAAATTAAAACACAAAGAAACTATATTTCTATTCTAATTAGGTATGCATATCTGAAACACTTAAGACATGGGTCTGTTTTTATTGGACTAAAACTTTCACAAGAATGTAAAAACAGCAGAACCTACTTCAGCTCCCCACATTCGAAAACCTTTTTCTAAACGAAGAGAATTCATAGCATATGTCCCAAAATCTCCAACTCCAAGGTCTTTTCCTGCATCAATCATAGCTTCATACAATGGTAAAGAATCCTTCCTACTGTGGTACAACTCCCATCCTAGCTCTCCTAATGAGGAATAAAATGTTCTAATTTTCCTATACTGAAAATATATTTCTGATAGGCACTTCCATTTGCTCAAAAGATTAGCTATTCTCATTCAATGCTGCCCTCTATATGCAAACTTTTTCTTTATGCATGCCACAAGCCTTCCACTCCCCTTATTGGAATCAAGTGATTCCAACATGTCTCTCATGTAAATCATCATGCATCACCTCTCCATCAATAGGAGCATAGTATACTCCCTCTATGCACTTCTACCAAACTATCACTTCGAAGTTTGACAGAAGATGAAAGCACCGGAAGAGTGTGTGGAGGATGGGTGGGAAGTATGAGCAGAGGGAGGTACCTATCGGAAATACATTTTCAGTATAGGAAAATTATAACTTCTGATACGGTACTTCCTTCCACTCACAAGATTAGCTAGAATCCCACATTGATTAGGAGGAGGGACTGGTGCGAGGGAAGAACAGATGTACTCCCCAAAAGCTTCCGAAGGATACCTCTGTAGATGAGAGAGTCAGATCGGAAGATCTGAAGAGGGAAACTGCATCATTTCTGACCAGGTATCCTCTTCGCCCATCCGTAAAGAGTGGAGAAAAAAGGCAGAAAAATGAGAGGAGCAAAGGATGAGCTCCACAGTGTAGAGTGACTAGAGCATGACGGACAGTACTCAGTAAGTCAACTACATTCAAAATCCATGCCGCTAGGAACTGACATTCATATGGGGGTAGGATGAGGATCATACCATCTTCACCTCAAGCCCCAGAGAATGGAAGGAATCTAAAACCATTCCAACCCCAGGGCATGACGCATATGTTATTTAAGGAATATCTTGATCTGGGAACCTAACATCTAGTATCGAAAGGATGTCTATGTAAACAATATCTACTCCTCCAACAGGAAAACTGACCAGAAACATCCAATAAACAATAACATCCTCGGGCAAAAAAACATGAGAGATGCCAAAGGACAGAACTGGAACGATTCCCCTTACCCCAGCTGTGACCCACAACACAAGGAGAGCACAACTGAGGGAGGAAGATAGACAACCTTGAACATGCATGAAGACTTATATTGACTAGTTCACTCTAAATCCAAAACCCAGCTGTGGGTACCAACATTTGTGTGGGGGTAGGATGAGGGATCCTAATCAAGGGGATGAACTGCAATTCGACATCTCACTCCATAGTAATTGCATAACACATATTGGAGGATAGCACATCATCTACACCAACAGAACACCACCACCCTACTCTGTACTAAATGGTATTGTCTGTTTTGTGTGGAACAAATTCAGCAGGGTGCTTCCATGGTTGACCACCCCAGCAGCTTGGGACAGTTAAGTGATAAGGACTCCCATACTCCACTTGAAGAAAGGGGGATGAAAATGTGTAGGAGAGTCCGGATGAGCGTCATCACCTGAGACAGTGCAATGGGTGATCACGAAACCCTATTTTGAAAAGCAGACCATCCTGATTTATTCAATCAAGGTATGACAGGGAAGGACAGCCATCTCCTTCTGCTTTATCCATGAAGTCCATAGGTGGTACAGTCTGGAACAGACAAGTTTATGAAGCAGACATCACAAGGTTATTTACCTTCAAGTGATCTTGTGAAACACCCCATCTCAATGGTAAGCACTGCGAAGCCAAGGAATGGAAAGCACGAGTCAACATGGCTATACGGTGCAGATTTTGGATTGCTGAATACCTGGCCAGGCACCACTTGCCACAGAGCGGGATCTGCATAATGAAGGTATGAAGGACGGACCCCTGATATAAAAGAAAGCATTAATATAGACTTACCCAGTTTTAGAGTTGCATCAAAGCTTGAAGAAAAGCAATAGGGCAATAGGGTTAAGGTAATTTGAAAGAAATCTGGGTAGTTTATAAAGTATAACCACTTTGAGAAGAAACTGTATCTTAAACTGTTGAAATCAAGTAAAAAAAAAAGAAACATGTCCAAACACAAGCACTGCCAAACGAGAAGTGAGAGTTCGATAGAGGTGCATAAGGGGAGTCACGTGAGTATACTATGCTCCTATTGGTGGAGAGGTGACACATGATTATTTACATATGAGATGCATTGGAATTACTTCATTCCACAAGGGAGGAGCGGAAGACTTGTGGCATGCGTAAAGAAAAAGTTTGCATATAGAGGGCACCAATGAACAAGAATAGCTAATCTTGTGAGCGGAGGGAAGTACCGTATCGGAATTTGTCTTTAATTACCACATATACAGTGACAGAAATATGTAAACATGCTTATAATCAATAAAGTTAAAATACATAGTAATAAAAATACTGAATTTTTACATTTCATATGATATTTGGTTAAGATATTTAAGTTGATAATGATAGGTTGACTTGATAATACAGAGATTATAATTATTTAATCTCATTTGAGTGTGTTGAAGATAATGTGACTTTTTTTAAGGAAATAAACTACCAGAATAATCAGAAATAATGGAAATTATTATAAAGACAACACATTTACACCATTATATAGCTCCAAACAGCAAATATCAATTAACTGAACAGTCATTGGTGGTCTAATGTTTTACTGGTACAAAAAAAAAACACAATCCATTTCCAATGTGATGCAATATAAATCAGTATCTGCATACCTGGCATGCTTTACCAGTACAGTAACCAAAAATTATAAAATACATGTTACTGGTGGAATTTCTCTGGTATATCTAAATGTTTAATAGTAACCTTGCAAGATACATACTAAATTAGTCATAGGCTTTAATGTTTTATTTTCACTGTCAGGTATTTGTTTTTCATTAGTTATATCTGTAACTTTTAACATTCATTATTGTTATTGCTTTTTTTCAGAGTGAACTGCTAACTTCAATGAAACTGTTAGACTTTGTATACAATTCATTTTCATGTACCTGCTTCCCCCAAACAAGTTGCATAAAATTGATGTTCTACTCTATATGTATATATTATGCAGTTAATATGCTTGAAAGTATATATAGCTTGCTTTAACAGCATATCCCTGTACATGATACTTTTTTATTCTATTTTACACTTCAGATAAGATTGATAAAAATGTTGATAGGAATGATGAAATATTATATTACTTTATAGCAAATACAATATATAGTAAATAAATATTTCCTTTTTAAAAGAAAGAAAAAGTAAATGTATCATTACCAACATTTTATTGAAAACGATCAATTGGATGATGTCAAATCATCACGTTAGCTAGAATTCTTACATCTAGCTCATTAGTTTAAAAATGCTTCTGACAAGAAAAATAAACTTAATATAAACATGATTGTTTGTTTGTTGAATTTCACACAAAGCTACTCAAAGGCTATGTGTACTAGCTGTCCCTAATTTAGAAATGATAGACTAGAGGGAAGGCAATTAGTGAACACCACTTATAGACAACTCTTGAGTTACTCTTTTTTTTTATTCTCAATGAAAAGTGGGATTCACCATCACATTACAATCAAAGCTGAAAGGGTGAACATGTTTGACGTCAAGGTTCAAACTCACAACCTGCAGATTATAAGTCAAGTGCGCTAACTACCAGGTCATGTAATCATGATTAGATATAAGGACATACCAGTATTTTAATTAAACATTCAACAATTGTAAATCATTTGCATATATGTTATGTCCATCAATAAGAAAAAGTTTTCTGTATAACATATGTTTATAGATAAAGGCAGTTAAAACTGATTCAGATTTAAACTAACTAATAATACCTTTGCAATTTAATTGACTTAATTTTTGTTTTCAGAAGGAAAGTTCTAGTTGCTAGAGTCTGGAAACAATTAAGCAAGAGACAAATGAGCCAAAATCAAGAGAAACAAGAGACAAAACTATAGAAATACTCCACTTTATACTCAGGTTAAACCTTAGTAAGACATCCCACGAGTCCCTGGGTCACATGCTTCACCTAATAGTTTGCATACAACTATAAACTATCTTAGTTAGTTTTTACAGGTTTCTATATCACTTGTTTGAATAGGCTACCTTCCTAGAAGTCTATGCAGAAATGCACACATTAGCTTCATACTTCAGAACAAAGGTTGCATTATGTAACATTTACCTACATAAAAGGATTAGCACATGTTCAGGACCTTGTAGCATCCATACAGATAGGACTAACTACATGCAGAAACCATATGGAAATTAATAAAAACTACATGAATATACCAGAATAAAGAAATATTCCATACAAGTTATAAAAAGGTGAAATCAGTAGCTGTTTCATCTGTGATGACAGTACTACTGGTTACAGTATGACCACCTGTGCTTTTATATGCATTATACTGGTGTGACACTTTGATTGGTTGGATAACAATCAATCACAATGTATTATATGAACACATGACCGTACTCTAGTGTGGTTCCCTTTCACATGAAAAAGGGACATTATTGTAGTATCTGCCTTTTCCTCGCCACTTCCACAATTATTTACAATAATGTATATGTGATTTAATAGTAGTTGTATAGCATAAAGCTTTTTTTTCTTTAAACATTTCATTTTGATGTTGCCCATTTTTGGCTTAGAGCACAATGGAAAGCATTGGTGGAGCAAAATATGATATTGGGTATAACGTAAGTAACTTAAGAAGAAAAGCGTAAAAAAACATTTTCTTTTGATTAAATAGAAATACATAAAAAAATCAAAACACCTTAATTAAATGTAACTATGTATTATTCTAAAAAGTGTATTGTACCACAAAATTATTTTAGTATTGATTCAACTTTCTCACAAAAATATATTAAAGATTAAAAACATTTAATTGAGACTAAGTACGTACGACTCTGAAGTTAAAAATATTAGCACACTTCAGGAAATCCCACTGATAACATATACATCTTTTTAAAAAAATACTGTATAAGCTCTTATAGTGGTATACTTGGTGTTGAAAATATTTCTTTCTTTCTCAGATGAAGAAACTGCATATACCTGTAATCTGTATTTAAATATATAGTTTTATTACATATATTTCATTAAACTGGGTCAATAAATAGATGCCAGGACAATAGTGGTACAGAGAAAATATCACTGTAATTATAAGTGTTTACATGAAACTAGTCATCCTATGATACCACATATACAATTTATATCTTTGGACTTTAAAAAAAAAAAACCTGAAGTAAGATGTACTGTGGTGCAGTGGAAATACTAATTACAAATACAGGGTGAGCCATAATTTTATATCATAAGGTACGTTTCAAAAATCGCGTGTATGTTCGATCAACTTTACTGAAATACAGCCCATTTCTCTTGTTATGTTAAATGCATAGAACAAACTAAAGATATTTTACTTTCTGAAGAAAATCATGTCTATTTATTAAAATCTATTTACAATACTTTGTTTAATTGAGATGTAAATTTAAGACTATTATTGTTATGCTTAGAAATGAATGAAAGGGTGGCAAGATATGTATTTAAAAAGCTAGAAACAATTTTTGTATCAAATTTTAATACATCTCTGTTGAAAACTATGGAAATTTTAAACATGTAATGAATATAAGCTTCATATATTAATGTGTTTGTTGAATAGTCATGCATACCTGTATAGGAAATTCTAAGTCCTCTCACAGGTATTCCAGCCACATCAAAATGACGAGCATGAAGGAAAGGGAAGGCTTCATCACTGAGGTCTTCTTTAGTAAGCTTAGCCAAAACATTTCGAGATAAAGGTCCAGCAATACTGACTGCAACCATGTCATCAGTAACATTTGTGAGAGTTACATCATATCCCCAAATCCTAGCATGTTCTTCCATCCATCTTCATATACATAAACGTTAAATCTAAGTTAATTTTTTTCTTTTGCAATTCATGAAATACTTTTTTCTATTTGCAGGGATTCTGTATCTTTTATAAAGTCTATACTGTCAAAGAGAAAATATTACAATTTTCTGCTTAGTTCTCATAATCTTATATTTGTTAATTATGTTCACCTATGTGTTTTTGGTTAACATTCACCTGAATCACACAAAATATTTCTCTCTGCATTTAATAAATGCACAAAAGCCTTTATGAAAAAAAAATTACTATTTTCCTGAACCTAGATGAAGAGTTAGAAATGATTTTCAAGGTATGAAACATATAGTGTCCATTGTATGAAATTATAAAAAATATTTGAATCACATCAGCAAGAATATAAGTAATATTATATAACAATTTAAACTGTTCCGATTCTTGTTTCATTCCAAATATTTTTTCACAGGGAGGAGGAAATCTAATGCTCCATAAAACAATTTTTAAAACATTAGTTTTCTTTTTTTCATTAGACAAGAATAGGAATCTAATACATTTCAATACTGAAACACCATTACATTTAATACAAAATTTACAATATTGAATCCAACAGCAAATATAATTGGATATAGGAATATTTGTAATATGAGTAATGCTATTAGATTAGGTTAGTGGTGAAAGCATTTGCTAAGCTAGGCCAGTAGTGACCACTACTACTTGTTAAACAAATCAAAGAGTGAAAAAAGATTGGAACAGTATGTTTGGACCTTTGCTTTTTAGTTGGAATAACCATCAAAGTTTGTTATTGAATTGAAAGCTAATTAAGATGTATCTAAAGTACATTTGTTAAACCTATTTCAGTGTGATGTAAAATGAATATATCTTCCAGCTATGAAAATTATGTGCTTGCCACTGAATTTCATTTGTGTAAATAGTGTACACCATAACTGATTATTCACTAATCTGCTTTTTTTACTTTGCCCAACACACATGCACATCAGTACTAATAGATCTAATATCAGTTTTAATTTATCATCTAACATTTGGTTTCACATCTTTAAAATGTTTTTAATTGTTTTAAGTAAGTTCAGACACAATATCAGTATCAGGTTTCAAAAACAAAATATTGAATAAAAGCGTTTTTTTGAAAAGCAGTCACTCATTAATTAATCTTGAAAAATGTAAAATTAGAATAACTAAAATATTACATATTGTAAATGAAAAATATAACTAAAATGTTTTTGAATTTTAACCCTGTTCACATACCTAAGATCATGAAATTCTGATCCAGAGCCTGTGATCACAAAGTAATGATCAGGAGACAGTGTAGTTATGGTGAGCTCAGAATAAACTTTTCCAGAAGGGCTTAGCATATGAGATATATTTGTTGTTCCAACCTATAACAGTTAGTAATAAAATTGTAATTGTATTATGGAGAAAAATCCATCAAACTTTTCACCAAAGAGTACACTTTCCTCTAACACTTATTACCATATTTTACTATCTATCATCATAAAAAAAGTGAAGGGTACCCCATATATTACCAATCATTTACATCCAATTTAAGTTTAATTTTCTTTGCTTCTACACACACAAAACTGTAGAGTATTTTAATGTACATCTAGGATTGAATGCCAGGCTTAGATCAATGTGTAGAGATGAGAAAATAGGCTGTTTGGATTTGTGAGATAATTTTAATGGGAAAGGTAATCTTTTTGGAATGGATAGCTTACACTTAAACAAGTCAGGGGTTAGCACATTAGCAAGGGCTATTAACTCAGCTGTAGTGATTGATTTAAACTAGAGCTAGACAGAAGTGAGGGCTATGATATTAGTAAAATAGGAAACATAATTGACAGGTATGAAAATATGAACATATTTTAAAATCTATGATTAATCGTTACTGTTGTAATGCTAGGAGTATTAGAAATAAAATTGATGAGTTCAAAGCAGTTACGGAAACTGAGGATTTTGATATTATGGGTATCACTGAGACTTGGTTGGATTTGAACAATTCTGATGAAAGAAATTTTTGAAGTACCAGGCTACAGATTATTTACTACAGATAGAGTACTGAAAAAAATGGGGAGGAGTAGCATTTTATGTGAGGAGTGAATTACATCCTGTTGAGTTAGAGCATATTAAAGAAAATAGCACTGAGGTTGAGTCAGTTTGGGTTAGTGTTAGTGGATATAAAGGGAAAAGTCTGGTAATTGGAATTGGTTATAGACCTCCAGGTCAGTATATAAAAGTTAGTGAGAAACTGTATAATGAGATCAGAATGGTAGCTGAAAAAGATGTTGTTATTATGGGAGATTTGAATATCTGGGGTATTGATTGGTAAAATTTTGAGTCTGAAATGCAGGGGGGACAGGTTTTTGGAAATTGTTCAGGATACTTTTATACTCCAACTGATTATGGAACCTACAAGAGAAGTTATATTAGATTTAATATTAGCATTCAATGTGAATATGATAGATATGAGTTGTGGTTGGTGAGTATTTAAATACAAGCGACCATTGCACTATTAGGTTTAGGATTTTACTATGTGTAGAATTGAAGAAGAATAGTACCTTGATACAAATTTCAGGAAAACCAATTTTGATGGAATGAGGTGTGATCTGGCTTCTGTAGATTGGATTAAAGAGTTGGGAGGAGATCTTGAACAGATGTAGGAAGCTTTAGGGAAAAATTGATATGCATACAGAACATGCATATTCCCTACAGAGAAAAAGGACAATGGAGCGGAATAAGCTAGTGTGGTTTAGTAAATGTTTAAGGGATCATATTAGGGATAAACATAATATATTCAAGAAATTTAAACCTTACTGGAAATAATGACTTGGAGGACTATAGGAAATCAAGAGAGCTTGTTAAAAAGGAAGTTAAAAGAGCAAGTACTGTATATGAAAGAGAGTTGACTGAGAGAGTTAAATCAAACAATAAGGAATTCTTTAGGTATATGAGAGTAAGCAAAATGTTAGGATGGTGATTGGGCCTCTTAAAAATGATAGTGGGAAGCTGATCTTGGAATATTATGAGATGGTAAACTTATTAAATTATATGTTCTCTTCAGTTTTTACGAAGGAAGTATTATATAAGCATTATGTTTCAACCACAGCACTTGATGTATGGCGAAAACATTGATGTAAAATATATCATTTTAAGTTCTGAAATTGTAAGAGAAAAGTTGAGAAACCTTAAAATTGATAAATCCACTGGACCAGACAACTTTTATTCTAGAGTTTGAAAAGAACTCAAATATTTTATTTGTGAACTGCTAGCTAATATTTTTATAGGTCATTGAGTGGTGGAAGAGTATTAGAATATTGGAAGTTCGCTAATGTTAGTCCATTATTTAAAGGAGGTGATAAACATTGTCCAGGCAATTATAGGCCAGTTTGTCTTACATCAGTAGTTGGAAAGGTTTTGGTAGTAGTAATAAATGGAGTTATATCTGACTGGATCACAGTTACAAGTGGTGTGCCTCAAGGCTCTGTGCTGGGTCCTCTGCTGTTCATGATTTATATTAATGATATTGACTCTGGGATGACTAGCAAAATTTTGAAGTTTGCAGATGACATTAAGATTTTTGGTATGGCTAACTGTATCAAAAATGCTGCAGATTTACAGGGAGATTTAGATCATTTGATGCATTGGGCCAATACGTGGCAGATGATGTTTAACTATCCAAAAATGGAGGTGATGCATGTAGGTTTCACAATTCAAATTATTGTTACATATTAAATGGGAATTCATTAAATACTGTGGTTGAAAAAAAGATTTTGGTGTTGTGATTGATAAATTGCTTAAGTCATCTAAACAGTGTATTGTAGCTAGGAATAGGGCTAATAGGATTTTGGGTAGTATCTATAGAAATGTTGAATACAAGACAAGGGATATTATTGTTTCACTGTATAGATAACTTGTAAGGCCACATTTAGAGTACTGTGTACAGTTTTGGGCTCCCTTCCTCAAGAAGGACATTGAATTGTTAGAGAATTTTCAGAGAAGAGCCACTAGGATGACACCTGGGATGGTGGGATTGTCCTATGAGGAGAGATTAAAATCTCTAAACTTGTTTTCTCTGGAGAGGAGAAGGATCAGAGGGGATTTGATTGAGTTGTTTAAGATTATTAAGGGTATTTATAATATAGATCCATCAAACATTTTGTGTTTAGCAGTGAAAACAATAAGACAAGGGGTCATAAATTTAAATTTTGGCAGCGTAGGAGTCATCTGCAGTTTAGACAGTTTTACTTTTCAAACAGGGTGGTTGGCTTTTGGAATAAGCTACCTTCAATGGTGGTGGAGGCAGAAAATTTAACTGAGTTCAAGAAAATATTGGATGAATACATGAGTAGTAAGGGGTGGTTATAGTTTGGAGCTAATAATCTCCTTTTTGTCCTTTTAAAATTTTATGAGTTATGAATATACATATATTACAAACAAATTAGACTGTTTCATAAAGTAAGCTTTTAACAGTTTAACAGCAGATCTAGGCTAAATTTTTGATATACTTGCATTTGAATTTTATGAAGTTATGCAGGCTTTACAAATTAGTCCTATTCATGGTTGTGCAGATGACTGAATAACATGATCTGATTGTATGTTTGTATACACACTTGTGAAGAAGTTATTTAAAATTACTACTATTTATCAGATAAGTCCTCAAAATACTGATATCTGGTTAAAGCCTTTGTCAAACAGTTCTAAGAACTGAAATTTATCTCAATTCTCTCTCCATCCATCCAACCAGGCCATGACACAGTCTTCTCCACTACAAGAAATTACAGATCGTATTTAATCAAGTACAAATCTGTTGAAATGTTGTTCAGTTCTGTCCATTCAAAGTACTCTCTATAAATCAACTGCTTACCAACTTTGTAAAAGTACACAAATTTCTCAGTTTTTTTATGAAAAAAATATACTTGTTTAACAATATACAATAAAATGATATGAAATGAACATATTAATATATACAATTATTGTGAGGAAATAACATATAAACTTTAAGACTATAACGTATAGATTTTTTTCCTACTTTTGGAAGATTATTAGCAATCAGTCGATCAAGGAATTTCAAAGCATCTTTTCCTCTGATTTCAAACTTTCCAAACGGAGACACATCCACAATACCAGCTTTATTCATAACCATCTCACACTCTCTTTGAACTGGCTCAAACCAGTTTGTTCGCCTAAAACTAGGTTTGTAGCCCTTTTCATCTCCAGGTAAGGCAAACCAAGCTGGTTGTTCCCACCCTAAAAAATTTTTCACGTTTACAAGTACAAGGTAATTGTTCTTAAAACAGGATTTTCACAGGGTAACTTCACTGAAATCATATGAACTAAAAGTTGGCTTTAATAACCATAATTTTATGTTAGAAGTGTATGTTTTATGGTTAAAAAGAAACAACAAAAATTAATTCTCATTACACTTTTCAAAATTAATGAATTCTTGAGTAACTTAAAAAACAAATAATATACCTTCTATTTTACTTACTGTCTACACCAAAATAAACTACCTAAACTTACATATCTTGAAATAATTTGTTCAAATAATACAGAGTACTGTAGATATATTGTAAAACACTAAAAAATTTGTACTTCATTACTTCAATTTTAGAAAAATATAT